CATCAACTGATGAACCAACTCCTTCTGTTTTTATAACCTCTCCTTCAACAGCAGGTTCATCATCATCAGGAGGAATTTCTGGAATAGGTTATTTTTCTTCAACTTTAGGCTTTTCAACTTCTGGTTCTTTTTTTGGTTTTTCCTCCTCTTCGTCTTTTTGTTCTTCTTCAGGTTTTGCTTCTTCTTTTTCTGTTTCCTCAGGAGCTTCTTAAACTTCAGGCTCAGGTTATTCTGGTACCTCTTCTTCTTCATAATTGATTGGAGTATCATCTTCCTCTCCTTATGGACATTCATCTTCATCATAAGCATTTGGTGAGCCAGATCCAAAACCTACATCTTCAATTATCTTCTCTGGTTTGTCTTCCTTATAATTTGGATTACCCTGGAATGGTTCTTCGTAAACTCCAGCATGGGAATTTTAATTTCCTGCAGAATTAACTGTAACATGTTAATTGTTCTAACTATGAGTTGGTTTTGCTGAAGATTCATCAGCTGAAGAAGCATCTTTATAGTTAGGATTGGATTAAAATGGTTTATCTTAGTTTGCCGATTATTGATGAGAAGTTTATTTATCATGAATTGGATTAGATGATTCAGGTTGATCATATTTGCCAGGAGGCAATCTTGTGGAAGTTGATTTGCTTTCATCATGTATAAGATTTCCTTATAACTTGTTTTCTTGATTTGCTGTTTATTAATGTGCTGTTTAATGATCATGAAGGGGATCAGAAGATTCTGATTAATCTGACTTTCCTGGTGGCAATCTAGTTGATTATTGTTTATTTTCCTTTTGATTTCCTTCATAATTTGGATTTGATTAGAATGGCTTATCTTGATTAGCAGCTTATTAATGAACTGATTATGTATCATGCTAAGGATTAGAGGATTCTGGTTAATCTGATCTTCCTGGTGGCAATCTAGTTGATTATTGTTTATTTTCCTTTTAACTTCCTTCATAATTTGGATTGGATTAAAATGGCTCATCTTAATTGGCAGCTTATTAATGAACTGATTATGTATCATGCTTAGGATCAGAAGATTCTGGCTAATCTGATCTGCCTGGTGGTAGTCTAGTAGATTATTATTTATTTTCTTTTTAACTTCCCTCATAATTTGGATTTGCTTAGAATGGCTAATCCTAATTGGCTGATTATTAATGAACTGACTATGTATCATATTTAGGATCAGAAGATTCTAGTTAATCATATCTTCCTGGTGGTAATCTAGTTGATTGTTATTTATTTTCCTTTTGATTTCCTTCATAATTTGGATTTGATTAGAATGGTTTGTCTTGATTAGCAGCTTATTAATGAACAGATTATGTATCATGCTAAGGATTAGAGGATTCTGGCTAATCTGATCTGCCTGGTGGCAATCTTGTTGACTATTATTTATTTTCCTTTTAACTTCCTTATTAGTTAGGATTGGATTAAAATGGTTTATCCTAGTTTGCTGTTTGTTGATGAGAAGTTTAATTATCATGAATTGGATTAGATGATTCAGGTTGATCATATTTGCCAGGAGGCAATCTTGTGGAAGTTGATTTACTTTCATCATGTATAAGATTTCCTTATAACTTGTTTTCTTGATTTGCTGTTTATTAATGTGCTGTTTAATGATCATGAAGGGGATCAGAAGATTCTGATTAATCTGACTTTCCAGGTGGCAATCTAGTTGATTATTATTTATTTTCCTTTTGATTTCCTTCATAATTTGGATTTGATTAGAATGGCTTATCTTGATTAGCAGCTTATTAATGAATCTGTATTATTGTATCATGCTAATGGATTAGAAGATTCTGGTTAATTCTGATCTGCCTGGTGGTAGTCTAGTAGATCTATTATTTATTTTTCCTTTTAACTTCTCTTCATAATTTGGATTGGATTAAAATGGCTCATCTTAATTGGCAGCTTATTAATGAACTGATTATGTATCATATTTAGGATCAGAGGATTCTGGCTAATCAGATCTTCCTGGTGGCAATCTAGTTGATTATTGTTTATTTTCCTTTTGATTTCCTTCATAATTTGGGTTGGATTAGAATGGTTTGTCTTGATTAGCAGCTTATTAATGAACAGATTATGTATCATGCTAAGGATTAGAGGATTCTGGCTAGTCTGATCTACCTGGTGGCAATCTTGTCGACTATTATTTATTTTCCTTTTGACCTCCTTCATAATTTGGATTTGATTAAAATGGTTTGTCTTCTTTAGCTGCTTATTAATGAACTGATTGTGTATCATTCTCAGGATCAGAGGATTCTGGTTAATCTGATTTTCCTGGTGGCAATCTTGTCGATCCTTAATATTCTTTGTCATAAGACCACCCACATTTATTTTTTTAATTTTTTAGTTGTTAAACTTTTTCTTAAAGTTCAGCGCTGCTTGAATAGCCTTAACATTCATT